ACAGACAACCGCGGGCAGGGTGGCATTTCACCGGCGGTCCCACAAGAAAAGCTGGCTGAGCCACCGCTTCGTACTGAAGCATCATTTATTAATCACCTGTATCAAGCACACATCTGCTCAGCAACGGTGCGTGACGGGATACAACAGTTGACATCTAACCCGAAGGGAGGCACGTGGGTACAGGATCCAGCACGGCGGGAGGAAGAGCACTGAACGCTCTGCAAAGACAACCTGGGTGCAAGGCGGTGCTCAGGCTATGTTGTTAGGAGGCTGGAGACCAGTGAGATGAAAATTAGGAGCAGAACTAAGATGCGAGCTGACTTAGGCTTCACCAGTGATTTAAAAACCCAATTACCCTCCTTGCATATAATAAACAGGTAGAAGTGCAAAGAACTTTCTCTGTCTCTCCTTGCTCCCACACAGACACCGGTAGCAGAGGAAGGACGCTGATTCAATTCGCAGTGACATTTTGTGTCCGATCAGCTACAAAACTCAGATGACACCGAGGAATAGCGGAGCACCAGCGTGTTTCCCATTCACACACACACACTTCAAGGGGACGCAGCCCCCTGGACTGCGTTCTCCCAGGGAGGAGGGCCAGGTGCCTGCCCTGGCATCCCACCGGAGCAGCGCCAGCCATCCCTGGCTGTCTCCAGAAGCTTCATCTTTCATCCCTTTCCTCCCCGGAGCTGATCTCTCCCTCCAAGGCAGCCCGTGGGTTTTCACATCTAGCTGTCGCCTAGCTAGGACTAGGTAGGTCGGTGCTACACAGAGGGCTGTTTGGAGGGAGCCGTGTCAGCAACAGGCAGTAATTTGGAGGCGAGGAAAGCCAGACCCCATCCAGGCACACACCACGACAGATGCCTCGCATCAAATCACTGCACACGCTTCAGATACAATCTAGAGTTAAGAAACTCACAGGTTTTAGCAGGGCTGGAACTTACGCAAAGCCACCAATAGCTCGCTGAGACACCAGAGTGGGCTTCAGCTTAATAGAAAAAGGCCTGAAGACAGAGGGTGAGGGATAATGATAAAATGCTTCTGATCTGAGGAGTTTCTAAACCCCCCTGTACCCCACAGCCTGCAGAGGGAAGCCAGGGGCTAGATCCAGTGACAGGACAGAGATCAGCATCTTCAACTCCTGACAGGAGGAAAATAAAAAAATTGTAAAAAAAGCAGCTTTGGGGTTTTTGCCCAGCTCAGTGCTCAAGCCTGGTCAACAAGCATCTGGAGAGAAAATCTGGTAGCAGGTGTTTGCATCTTGAAGATTTATTTAGCTCCTATTAAAGTAGCTGAACAAAACCCCAGCCAAACTCTGGTTGAGCAGCTCTACCATGCTACAGGAACAGGTTGTAGCTCCTCTCTAAAGATTAATCCTGGCACAGCTCTTTATCTTTAGTTGCAAATCCAAAGCACAATTCTGACTGAAAAATATGATATGCTTGAAAGATGACAGAGCAGCTCACAGTCCCAGACAAATGCATGTGAGAACTGAAAGGCATTTAAGTTCTGCACCTGCACCACAGCATCTCCCTGTCCCGGTACCGCTGTACGTGACAGACCTCACACCCTGCACCCAGGGGAGCTCCCCGTGTCCCCAGGCAGGCTGGCACTCAGCAGGGCCGGAGCTCTTGGGTCTGCTTCTGCCAGCCGACAGGCACGCACGCAGCCAGCTTAACGCTGCTGACACGATGGCATTCAACACGTGAATTTCTGGGCCAAAGTGCTTTCACCCCTGGCTCAGCCCACCAGGTACAGCAACAACTCAGAGCTGAGGAGCTCAGTTGATACCTACCGATACACAGAGTACTTTAAACACTGCTCTTCACATAGGAAAAACCCTCACCCAGTCAATCATCCAATTCCTCCCAGACACTAAAGGTGCTTCACTGCAAGGACAGTTAAATTAAAAGCAATGAATCACACACCCCATCTATGCAAAGCTGCTTTACAGCTATGTACACCAAAGTAGCATCATTCCCAGAAAGAGTCTGATCAGCAAATCACACCTTAAAACTCATTGTGGGATTTTCTTTTTTCTCGGAAAACCTACCACCTCAAAGGCAAGACAGAAATTCAAAGAGATTGGTCCTTTCTGGGGGAGTTTGGGACGAACCACAGTAGACAAGACTCTACACCAGCACAGAGAGGAACTCAGACTCATGAAACACTACAGACATTGGATCTCCCGACACCACACACATGCGCACAGGGCAAAAATCAAGAGGAACTTTTAAGTGCAGGATTCCAGCAAGTCCAGCATCAGCAAGATGCAAAAAGTAAACTGCAAGGTGATTCAGGTATTATTCCAGGGAAGGTCAGAGACAGTTCAGGCAGCTGCCTGCAATTATTTCAGCTGGAGAAAAGAATTCATGAGGGCTCTCCTCCTCACTAAAACTGGTACCAGCCAGAATAGCTGCCCCCCCTCTACACAGGGCTTTTCTGTGCTCGCCAAGAGCAAAGTGCCCACCCTTGCAGGTAGAGGCTCTGCTGGGTGACAGATTTGCACACCCCTGGGAAACAGCCGCCGTGCTGGCAGCTACCCCGTGCTGGCAGCTGCCTGAGCGAGCTTCTGCCTATGCACTGAAGCCATATGAGCGGAGAGCACGCTCGGGGCGGGGGGGAGCGGTGATGCTGCTCGCCCAGGTTTTCTTCCCCAAAAGCAGGTGGCTGTTGTCCCTGACACTGTGAAAGACCTTCTCCTGGCCAGTCAAGTGTGACGACTGACCGAGCCCTTTCCATACAGGATCTCAGATTGCCTCAGGCCCTTTGTGTAACCTATGAAGGACCAAAAGTGTCAGTGCTTCTAATCTACAAATCTAATGAGTTAATGCAAAACCAAAATGCACAACACAGAGAAGCCAAGCTGGGACCTACAATAGACAAATATTTGCTCTTTGTTAGAAGACACTCAGGGCAGGAGTCCTGCTGAGACACAAAGAATAGCGTGTGCTGTAGCACTTCTTTCCAAAAATATCACCTAAATATGCTTACATATTACAGATGATTTGGGATCAGAGCTAGGGAGCATCAGTGCCAGCACAGGGTATGCGACTGAAAGATGACTCCACACGACAGGGTTTTCACCTCACCTCAGGCTACAAAGTGCTTACAGGTTGTGTTGGGACTGAGGCTGGCACTGCTCTGACGACATACCCTCCATCAGTCCCTGCCCACCCCAGGCACACAAGCAAGTTCAGCACACTGCAGGCAGCATCACCCGCACCTCGCTGCCTAAGCCCAGCATGCCATCTGCGCCAGGTCAGACAGATGGCTCTTCTCGGGTCACAGGGTAACACCGTGGGCTCAGCAGACCTGATTTCACTGCCTGCCTCTGCTCTACATGATGCGAAGACTCAAAAGCCTTCCCGGTCTGGTTTAGACAGGATGGCGCTTCTGGTTCTTTACCACAGATATCAAGAAAAGACAGGGAAGCCTTCCCCCTCCTCCTCAGCACTGCAGAACAGCACACACATGATAGGAAAGCTTAACAAAGAAATCCTCTCTCCAGAGCAAAGTCAAGTGCTAAGGCCAGGACTTTAAATGGTGTCACTTCACATCACCTAAAAGCGCTTACCGAGATCTGGCCAGCCTCCCAAGCTCCCAGTCACCGCTCCTGCCACCCGAGCGCCCGCCGGGGCAAAGCCACACACCCAATGTAAACGAGCAAGCACAACACACACACAAGCACACGCCGAAAGCCATCCCGGCCTCCTCTGCACATCACAAAGCAGCAGTAAAGGTTTCAAAGCCCAGTTAAGTCCTTTGCATCTCTCCTTCACAGATGACTCAAAAGCAGGGCTAGGAAGCTCTTTTGTACATTCAACTGTAAAACGTGTGAGGAAGAGGAGCAAGACAACTCTCCTGATTGTTGCTACTGCCTACAGCAAGTTTTGGTACAGATATCCTCTCTTATAGGCACTCAGTGGGTAAAACGTAGCCACAACAAACTTGCCATCAAAAATCTTTCCAGTCAGCATTTTTTGGGCAGCTTTGGAATCACCAGCATTTGCATATTCAACAAAGACCTGAAAGACAGAAAGGAGAAATAGGACTTCCAGGGCAGCTTGCCACCCACCCCCTTCCACCCCTGCAACCGACAAAACAGATCCCAAACTAGTTTTTCCCCATCTATCCTTGGTTGAGTCCACAGCAGTGAAGCTAAAAAGGAAGGAGCTGCACCCTCTGAACTGGCATTTCACCTCTTGCTCTTCAGTTCTAAGGGCAGAATATTTGGTGAGGTGGGAGAAAGTATCATGACGCTCTACATCTTCAACGTCTCATCTCCCACCCATCAGCTTCTCCCCTTCCCTCCCGTATCCCAATTCTCCTGCTAAAGCTGTCTGGGGACCTCCCAGGTTAGGCAACCTTACATAACCAGGAGGGAACCTGTGCTGTCCTTCAAGATAACCAGCTATTTTTAGCACTGTCATCAGCCAGGAGATTGCCAGGAGCTGAGCAGCAGTCCTGCAGCACACTAAGTGTACGCAGGAGTACACAGCCTCTTCTGTCCATTCACTTACTTGGCCTTTACCAGGATTCTCCTTTGGAATAAGCAAGGAAACCACCGCTCCGTACTTCTGACACTCCTCTCTTATGTCTTCCAGGATATCTGAGAAAGAAAAGAGCTGGTCGTCTTTCACTTTGCAAACTAGGATGAGCCAAGAAACAAAGGCCAGGTGAACACATCAAGAACATTCAGTCAACAGATAGTCTTTTCCTCTCAATTTAGACAATCGTGAGGTGCCACGGCAGACGGTGACACTGCTTAATGGCCGCATAATGAGATGACGTGTCTGAACTGCGGCTCAGGAACACAGACCTGCAGGCACAGTGAATCCCTGACAGCAGGGCCTGTAGCACATGGACAGTGCTTTTCCTTGCACAAAGCCTGGCCTTCCAGTAGCTACAACATTTGGGATTTGGGAGTGGTTTGGTTTTTTTGGGGGGTTTTTTTTGGGGGTTTTTTTTGGTTATGGTGCTTAGAGGAGGGGAGCCAAAGTAGCTGCCACAAACCCTTTGTGTGAGAACCCAGCCTTTTAAACTCATATCCCCAGAGCTCTCTAGCTTTTGCCACTCACGTGGATTTGAGAGTAAGCAGAAATGCAAATTCCACTGACATGCCTCACCACCTACCACGTACAGTTTTTGCTACAGTTTAACAACTCCAACCAGATTTTTTAAGTTCTCTGCTGAGACACTGGATGAGTTTACTAGCAAACTTTTGAGGATCTCTGCTACTGGGGTCCAGAGTCCTGTGCATGCCCACGAGAAGCTCAGAGCCACAAACACATTAGGAGGTCTGTGGGCATTTAACCAAAAAAGAAAATTTAAATTAAAAAAACCACACTTTTTTTTTTCTTTTAATCCAGGATCCTTCAAGAACTCACTACAAGCTCTGCTTTCTGTCTGAATCTTTTAGTCTATTCTCTGTTGGTGCAGTTGACCCACTTGGTACCAAATCTCTGCTGAGTAGCTCTTTGTTTGCTGTTCTTGCACCTATTAATTGCTCTTCTGCTTGCTCTCGCATCCCCAAAGCCAAACAAAATCAAGTAAGACAACATTGCTATATGGGAATTGCATGGCTTGCACCAACCTTCATATTCTTCTTCACACTGCAGAGAAGCATCGCTTAGAACATTTAGCAGCCTCAGGACAGGCGTGGGGAGCATCACCAAATCTTCAATATGGGGAGCTGTTTGACACCCACAGAATTAGAGAAAAGAAATCAAAGTCCAAAGGAGCAAGAAAACAGGAAGCTGACTCAATATGCACTATGATGCACAAGCACTTACTGCTCTTTGCAGTACAGTTTTGCTTCTCTCCACTATTACCTGCGTTTACAGCTTGTCCTCTCCCTGTTTCCAACTTATCTTCACCTGTGCACTGAGAGACTCCTTCAAAGAGTTCATTGCACTCTGCAATTACACTGAGACCAGTACCTGTAATTGCTTTTACAATTACAAAGCTAGCAGAAATTAAGACTGGAGTTATGTCTACCTAACTCAGATTCAGAAATTGATGTGACCTCAAGAGCTATGCTAGTTGAGCAAACTGCCTTGTATATATGGAGATGCGAGAAGATGAAAGAACTACTCTGCAACCTGCCTCTCCTTTTACTGCTACCAGACAAGCTGGAAACAGGCTGGCCAGCTTCTGTAACTCCAATTCTTAAGCTATAGTGAGGCACAAGCCTCAGCTCTCTCTAGAATATCTTTCAGTTCTTTCCTAAACGCCACGTAAACCTTCCCCCCTTCAAAATCCAACCGTAATGCCCTCTTTGGAAGGCCACCACACAGTCTTGCAACAGAAATGGGGAAAACTACTTAGTTACTTAAACAATGCAGTGGTATAGAATAAGGCATGGCCATGAGAGGGTGGCCACAAGGTGGGTGAGCAGTGACCCCGTGAACAACTTTACAGGAGCAGAAATAAAGCCTGCTGCCACCAGTTGCTTGGCTCTGGAAAATGAGCAGCTCCAGGATGGCCCGGAACAGCGCAGCAGAGATACTACTGTGGAAGAAGGAAACAGCCAAGGTGAACAGACCAACGCCAAACTACGAGAGTTGTGTCTGAGAGGACACCCAGTCCTCTAGAAACTCAAAGCAACAGGGACAGCGTCACTTCTCCAGAGACAAAAGCTTGATTTCATGTTCCTGAAATGGACTGGCAGCTCAGGCATGAATTTAAGATCTGGGAGCTCAACTTGCAGTACTTGGAGAGTGTTAATGTTTTTATTTACATTGGCAGCTACAGCAGCCAAACACAATAGCAGTTACCTCATAGTTCTCCCACTTGACAATGAGAGAGAGGAGAGAAAAAGGAAGAAATCGCTCCAATTCTCCAGTCTGAGCCTTCTGACTACGTTTGCAAAGATAGCAGGCTATTATTTCCTCGGAAACACTTTTCCGCGCTAAGCACACGATACGTATGCGGGACTTGACGTCTCTACCAGGCACAGATAGAACACGTTGATATCGTAGCGCAAGAGGAGATGATAGACAAGCACACACACTATAAATCTCCTCTTGCCTGACATAGAAGAGTCCTTATGAAAAACTTAGAGTATGAAAGGCTTTATCAGTCCAGACGATGCCCAGGCAGCGCTCAGGGACAGCCCTTCGAAGAAAGGTGCTGTGTTCAGATAACCAGGCACCTTCCAGCTCCAAGTGAACCTCTGGGACCGTTCTTCCACGGGACTGTTGGCAACCAAGAGACATCATCAGATGAACCGTGGACTGAAAGAACATTTAAGTACCACCTTGGTCTTATACGCTGCCCCTTTTATTTAAGTAAGTCTGTCCTTCATTTCACATGTCTTTTTTCTCAGAGAGGGAGACAAACCAACCCTAGGACTCAGAGCCATCTGGTCTTACTGTAACCCAGTGACAAATGCACTTCTTGCAATACCCTTCTGCCCTAGGAGGTACTTTCTGCCCAGCCTCTCTGCTCCTCTTCAAAGTGCCAGGTGATACCAACCACATTGACAACACAGAGCCTGCAAGCAGCTCAGGAAAGAAGCTGATGAACTGGAAAGTCAAGACTTGGCTGTAAATGACAAGGAAAGCCATTCTCAGCTGTCCTTGCTCTAAACAGAAAACCACCCGTGTCCAAGTGAAAAGCAATGACAGATCATTTTCTGACTTCCTAGGAATGCAAAAGTAAATGCTTCTTTGTGCAGACAAGCATATGCACAGGTTTGGCAAAGAAGAGAACCAGCAAGGAGAACTCAGAAAAATTGAAGCTGTTATATAAACTTGTACCACTAACCACAGAAGCACCTTCCCAGGTACAGTTAGAGGTCTGCGTGTTTAAAACTAGACCAGAAAGCACGGCCAATACACACTACTCCCTCTGCTCTAAAGCAATACTTGCTCCAAGGTTCAGCCACGAAAGGTGGCTTTGATTACAACAGTCCCTATTTCTGAGATGCAGCAGAAGTTTGAAGATAGGAACAAGTTTGTTGCCTTTGCCTAATGCACAGGAAT